TTTAAATTTTAAAATAGATAAAAAATTATTAAAAAATAAAAGATATTTATATTACATAACTTTTTATTATATAAAAAATAGCTTATTATTAAAATTTTTTTTTCCAAGTATATGTCAGCATCAATTCTTCGTTTTCTTAATCCAAAGTCTTCCATACTATTTCGGCCAAAAAAAAAAGGTCTTCCATTCTATACTGTATATTTCCACAACTCATTGGGTACGCCTATCATTAATTTCCTCAAGAACTCGGATGGGTCCTGAACATGCTCTCTCCATGCCCCATTCCACACGGCTGCGCCTGCGTAATTTTCTTCAATTTCATAGACATGCTATAAATTCCACACTGACCCGGTTCGTGTAGAATAGGGGAATGTCTTCATTGTTTTGAGGTGCATACCCCATGCCATACAGCTATTTGAAAATAAAAATAAGAGTATAGACCCACAAGTTAATACTCCTTATGTTTAAAAAGTGGATTTAGAAGTAAAGATTTTGGGTTTAAATTCATATAACAACTAAATATTAACTTTGTGAAATATAAAAATTAATTTTTAAAATGTAAATTTGACCATTGATGAAAAATGTATTTAAATATCTAACGAGCTTCAACTTGAATATTAATTTGGAGTTTATAGATCAATAATAGTAAGTTTTTTACACGGATATGCAAGATCATCACTTCTGTTTACTATTTTACAACTCTAACTAATTGCATAGAATCGAAGATAAGAACATTATATTACTTCAAACAATCTAGGAAGATGAGATCATCCATGGAATTGTGGTAAACGTACAAGTGGAATACTAGTCTCCTAATATCATCAATTGCAGGTAAGCTTTACAGTGTCTAAGACAAAGGCAGTCAGCAAAAACCAGTCTTTTAAGTTTCCAATCAACATAGATGTGATTGATCACATACTGAGCAAGCTGCAAGGACATGGCCTTATTAGTGAACTAATTAATTTCTTATTTCACCTACATGTTATTTTGGCTCTGAGATTCTACAGTAACCGTATCATCTTTCAAGACAAATAACATGCATTGTCATCTGGATTAGAAACGGATTTCTCTCTACTCTGCTGTATTTCCATAACTCATTGGATACGCACCTACCATCAATTTCCCCAACAGCTCCGATGGGACCTAAACATGCTTTTTCCACACCCCATTCTACACGCCTACATTTTCTTCATTCCTTTGTTCAACAACTTCGACGGACTCTAGTTCATGTAGAATGGGCAGGTTTTCGTTGTTTTGAGGTCATGAAAAGTGAATGGTGACAGTCTTCACCAAGGATCTGTAATAAAACTCTCCTCTGGACCTGGGAAATTATTCAATTTGATTTGTTGCGGTAACAAGAAAAAAAGCATATGCAAGCAATAGATGATACATAGATCAATAATTAACTATGGGGAGGTAAGACCGGAGCATATATTCCACTGATGGAATGGGAACTTATTACACAGTACAACTTAGAGGAAATGATATGATACTCAATAATTCAAACTAATACACTCGTAAAGGAAGCACATTAAAGTTTAAAAACATTTGTTTATGGAATCACTGATTTTCCACCACATTTCCTCAAGAAATTGATAATAAATGCAGTGCCATCTCCTGCTAATCACCAGAGCACATAGTACACTCCAAAATCCCACAACAAATCCAAGTGCCATGCTTACAAACAACCAATTTATTTCAACTCCATTCCCATGTTTTCCACCTTTGGCTTGGCTGCTGGGTACAGAATTTCCATTAATACTACTGCAGTTATCTGCTAGTGGAAGGCTGCCAAACTGTTTGTTTCCATCATAGCTAGATGCATTCAAAAGTTGTAACTGAGTACCTGAAGGAATTCTCCCCACCAATTGGTTATTGGACAGGTTTAGGTAACTCAGAAAAGTCAAGCTCGACGTGCTTTCTGGAATTGAACTAGACATTGTTTACTGAGAAATCAATTGATTCTAACATTCTCATGTTACCTATACTTTTTGGGATCCTTCCAATAAAATGATTGCGTGATAAATTCAATGATTGCAACCCTTGCAGCTTAGTTATTTCCTGAGGGATCTCCCCTTATAAACTGTTGCTTGAAAAATCCATGATTCTCACCAAGTAAAGCGTCTTGTCATGTTTAAGCTTTTGCCCTTTTATCACAACATCTGCATTCTCACATAATTTACACCCTCCAAAAGATATCCATAACTGTATCCGATTGGATATACACGACCGTAGCCAAAGTCTAACTCTTGAGAATGGTTGTCCATTGAGAGCAGGACCTGGGATATTGATCACGAAACAACGAAAACCTTTCCATTCTACACAAACTAGCATCTGTAGAATATGTTGAATAAGGAATGAAAAGAAATTCATGTAAGCGTGTGGAATGGGGTGTGGAAAAAACATGTTTAGGTCCCATCGGAGCTTTCGGGGCAGGTGATGGTAGGCGTGTCCAATGGGTTATGGAAATATAGCATGGAAGACGTTGAACCAAAGGAGATATATATTAAAGATATGCCATATGAAATGGGGCATGGAAAAATCGTGCTTGGGGGCCATGTCCGAGCTGTTGGGAAAATGTAAGTATTTTACACGGATGTACAAGATCATCACTTTTGTTTACCATTTTACAACTCTAAACTAATTGCAGAGAATATAAGATAAGAACATTATACTATTTGAAACAATCTAGGAAGATGAGATCATCCTTGGAATTATGCTAAACGTACAACAAGTGGAATTACTAGTCTCCTAATAGATTTCTGATAAGCTTCAAAGACAAAGGCAATCAGCAAAAACCGTTCTTTTAAGTTTCCAATCGACATAGATATGATTGATCACATACTGAGCAAGCCGCAAGGACTTGACCTAATGCAGAGCTAATTAATCTCTTATTTCACCTGCATATTATTTTGGCTCCAAGATCCTACACTAGCTTTAGGATCTTTTAAGAACAATAATATGCATTGTGATCGGGATTAGAACAGATGTCTCATTAATTACTCTGCTATATTTCCATAATCCATTGGATACGCGCTTACCATCAATTAGCCGGACAGCTCCGATGGCGATCTAAACATGCCTTTTCCACACCCCATTCCACACGCCCACGTGAATTTCCTCGTTTTTTAGCCCAATATCTTCCACGGATTCTATAGTTCATGTAGAATGGGCTGGTTTTTCGTTGTTTTGAGGTCATGAAATTAATGAATGCTGACGGTCTTCACCAAGGATCTGTAATAGCAATCTCTTTTGGACCTGCAAAATTATTCAATTTAATTTGTTGCGGTAACAAGAACAAAGCATATGCAAGCAATTGAAGATATATCAATAGTTAACTTTGGTGAGCGAAACCGCAACATATATTCCATTGATGAAATGGGAACTTAATACAATTTAGAGGAAATGATATGATAACTCAATAAATTCAAGACTAATACAGTCATAAAAGTAACACATTAAAATTTTAGAACATTTGTTACAGAATCATTGACTTTCCACCACATTTCCGCAAGGAATTGATAATAAATGCATTGTCATTGTCTGCTAATCACCAAGGAACTTAGTACACTCCAAAATCCCATAATAAATCCAAGTGTTATGCTCACAAACAACCAATTTTGTCAACTCCATTCCCATCTTTTCCACCTTTATTTTGGATGCTAGATTTATAATTTATTTAACACTGCAGTTGTCTAGTAGTGGAAAGCCGCAGAGTTTGTTTCCAGCATAGGTAGATGCATTGAAGCTATGCAACGGACTACTTGGAAGGAATTCGCCCAGTTAATGGTTATTGGACAAGTTCAAGTGAATAAAAAATGTCAAACTCGACATGTTTTCCGGGGTTGAAACCAGATAATTTGTTTCTTGAGAAATCAACTGATTTTAACATTCTCATGTTATTGACATTTTCTAGCTAGGATCCTTCCAACGAAAAGCTTGTGTGATAAATTTACTGATCACAACACTTAGAGATTAATTATTTCTGAAGAAATATCCTTAATAAACTGTTACTTGAAAATTTCCTGATTTTTACCGAGTGAAGTATCTTGTCATATTCAATCAGCAACTGACATTTTATCGAAACAAATGCATTCTCAAGATAAGCTACGTTTAAAATGTGGTTAATTGAAAAACGGAAGCCACATTGGGACACCCCTTCCATCAATTTTCTCAACAGCTCGGATGATGGGACCGAAAACATGCTTTTTTCCACCCACGGCCATTTCATATGTCAGCATCAGTTAATTTCTTCATTTTCTGGGTCCGAAGTCGCTACAATATATTTCCACAACCCATTGTACACGTTTATCATTAATTTCCTCAACAACTCGAATGGGACCTAAACATGCTTTCTCCATGCCCCATTCCACACGCTTGCGCCTGTGTAATTTTCTTCAATTTCATAGACATGTTATCAACTGCACACTGATCCGGTACGGCTAGAATGGGGGATGTCTTCATTTTTTTGAGGTGCACGCCCTATGCCCATGCAGTTATTTGAAAAAATTAAATTAATAAAAATAAGAGTGTAAACAAGCAAGTTAATATTTATTATGTTTAAAAAGTTGATTTAGAAGTTAAGACTTTTACAGCTCCAAGTACTGATTGTAGACAATAGAAGATGTATAAGAACATTATATACATATATATATATATATATATATATTTTTATCAGCAAAAGAAGTTTTTTATTATATTACTTCAAACAATCTAGGTAGATGAGATCATCCTTGGAATTATGCTAAACTTAGAACAAGGGGAATTACTAGTCTTTGAATATCATCAATTGCATATAAGCTTTACAATGTCAACACAAAGGCAATCAGCGAAAACCAGTCTTTTAAGTTTCCAATCAACATAGATGTGATTGATCACATTCTGAGCTAAGTAATCTCTTATTTCACTTGCATGTTATTTTAGCTCCAAGATTCTACAGTAATCTTAGCATGCATCTTTCAGGAACAATAAATATTTTGTCATCAGGATCAGAAAGTGACCTAAACATGCTTTTTCCTTAACCCATTGGATACGCGCCTACCGTCAATTTCCCCAACATCTCCGATGTGGCCTAAACATGCTTTTTCCATAGCCCATTCTACACGCCTACATGAATTTCTTCATTCCTTTGTCCAACATCTTCCACGGACTCTAGTTCATGTAGAATAGAAGGTTTTCGTTGTTTTTGAGGTCATGAAATTTGCGAATGGTGTGCCAGTCTTCACCAAGGATCTGTAAAAGAAATCTCTTCTGGACGTGCAAAATTATTCAATTTGATTGGCTGCAGCCACAAGGAAAAAAGCTCATATAAGCAATTGATGATAGATCAATAATTAACTTTGGTGAGGGAAAGTCACAACATATATTCCACTGATGATATGGAAACTTATTACACAATACAACATAAGAGGAAATGATATGATACTCAACAATTCAAGACTAACATATTTATAAAAGAAACACGTTAAACTTTAGAAATATTTGTTTATAGAATCATTGATTTTACACCACATTTCCTCAAGAAATTGATAATACATGCATCGCCATCTCCTGCTAATCACCAGAGGACTTAGTACACTCCAAAATCCCACAATAAATTCAAGTGTCATGCTTACAAACAACGAATTTATATTATTTAAACTCCATTCCATCTTTTTCACCTCTGTTTTGGATGCTAGGTATTGAATTTCCATTAAACATTGTAGTTATATGGTAGTGGAAGGCTGCAAAGTTTGTTTCTAGCACAGCTAGATGCATCGAAACTTTACAACTGAGTACTTGAAGGAATTCACCCATTGAATTGGTTATTGGACCAGTTCAAGTAACTCAAAAACATCAAACTTGACATGCTTTCTAGAATTGAACCAAACAATTTGTTCCTTGGGAAATCAGTTGATTCTAGCATTCTCATGTTGTTAATGTTTTCTGGGATCCTTCTAGTGCAAAGATTGTGTGATTAATTCACTGGTTGCAACCCTTGGAGATTAGTTATTCTTGAAGGAATCTCCCTGCTAAACTGTTATCGAAAAAATCCATGATTTTCAGCAAGTATCTTGTCATATTCAAGCAACTGACTTTTTATCAAAACAAATGCATTCTTGAGATAAACTACGTCAAAAATACCATCAATAGAAAAGAGGAAGCCAAATTCCCTCTTGAGAATGGTTGCCTGTTAAGCAAGACACTTATGTTACCACTACATCTTCGCAAGCTTCCAAAGCAATTGTTATGAAAAAGGGTCTAGAAATTGGAGAAATTGTGCAAACACAACTCATCTGGGATATGTCCCCAAAAAAAGGTTATATTATATGTGTAACAATTAGGGTAAAGAGCAAGTTACCAAGCAATAGATAATAGATCCATGATAAAAGAGTAAGGTGGGACTTGCTATTCATCCTTGTTTCTTTATTTTTTATTTTCTTGAAATTACATGTCAATTAAAAGTATGGAATCTGAGCCCACAAGAAAAATTATGACACTTCAGGACTTTGCATGGCTTTCACAATATAAACATAACCATTAAAATTTCCCAAATTTGAATAAACTTCTCTATATACTTAAAATCTAGCCAGCACTACCATCTACCATGTGGTTTGGTGGTAGAGTAGCCTATGCTCTTAGTCACAAGTCTAGGATTCAATTCCTAGTCGCTACATTCTATAAAATCTAGCTGGAACTAACAATAAAGGATTTGCCCAGCAAAGAACACACGGGGATGAAAACAGTTGTTGGATGATCTATATTTTGGGGTAAACTTTAGTATGAAAGTGTTGATTGCATCACCCTAACTTTATAATTTACTCTTTTTGTACCGGTAGGAGTACCCCTTGTGTTCCAACTTAATAATACTATCTTTTGCTGATCCAAAAAAAAAAAAAAAGGATTTAGATGCTATAAACAAGAATTTTCTGAAATGACAGCACAAGTTATCTATTAATTGCAGACAAATCCAAGTTTCAAATATAGAAAATCTAAGATGAAAAAGTTTCCAGAATAAAAGAATGCCTTCATGCAGACAAATCCAAGTTCCAAATTGCAAGATATGGAGAATGAAAATTTTCCACAGACACACAAAGCATCTTGCTATTATGATAGTTTCTTTATACCATAAGTTGAGAAGTGAACTCAATTGAAAGATAAAGGAAACAGAACTTACCTAAAGATTAAAGGATTGATAACGTTATCCAAAACTCAGGACAAGCCACTCAACTTTGATGTTTTCCCTGCATTAACTCAGTAGAAGTGCAAAATAAATATGGTCAGAACAGGATTTGAGAAATTTACGAACAGGGAATATTAATAGGAAATAGTTCAATAGATAATGATATTTCAAAAAAAGAATGCAGCAAGATGATAATAAGTTTCCAGTAAGTCCAATATTTATATCAACATGGACTCATAATATCATATAGAAAATTATACACTTTATGAGTTAGAACTTGAAACAAGTAATAATAAGAATGATAACATTGTCACTAACAAGGAGATCGAGACATAAGTTAAGGATTAAATTTGATCACTAGATGGTGGCAGCAAATGAACTTGATGCAACTTTAACTAATTACCTCCTTCTCTGTCTATGAAATCCGGGTACTGGTGGTGCCATTCCAGCTAAATCTGCCAAAATCTCATCAAATACCTTTTATGTTTCACTGGCAGTCAAGTCCACTCTCACCTGTTAATCAAAATTTTCAAAAAATTTGATGAAGAAAAAATGGATACATTCAAATGAAAAGGTAAAAGGAAAACTCATAGAATCATATTAAATTTACCATCATTGGAATAATGGTAAACGGGTGAAATTACCTTATGAGAAAAACTATAGAGCTCATTAGTTTCTTAACATCTTCCAATTCAAAGACAAAAGGCAATCTGAAAAACCAGTCTTTTAAGTTTCCAATCCACATAGATGTGATTGACATACTGAGCCAAGCCGGTTCGACTTGGCCTAATACAAAACTAATCTCCTATTTCACCTGTAGGTTATTTTGGCTTCGAAATTCTACAGTAAACTTAGCATCTTTCAAGAACGATGCATTATCATCTCGATCAGAAACGGATGCCTCCAGACCTAAAAAAATACTTCAATTATACACATTGCAAACATTAAAACTTAAAAAGGGAAAAAGGGAAAGAAATCAAACAGCACGTTGCTATATATTTTTAAAGAGTCAAATTCACCTGAACCAACTGATGATATTGTCTTGCACCAAAATAGAACAACTCTAATGCGAAAATCACAAAATTATTCTGTAATTCTTCTGATATTTCTTGCTTCGATCGTAGCTGCAGCCGCAACCGATGAAGATCAACTGAAGCAAAAAAGTTTTGAAACTGAAAATTATCGCCATGCCTGTCGACTAAGATTAGCTTTTCTTATTCTAGGGTTTCGGAAATGCTGGAAATTCAAAGGAACCGTCGCCATGCCCATAGACGCCATCATCCTTCGTTGGGCTTGAAATTTCAGATGGAGCAGAGAAGCACAAGGTTATGGATTATGTTTTGGAAACGGCAACGTTTCAGTGACAAATTGGGTACCAAAGCGCACCATTTAATTTATTGCAGAGGAGGGTTGATTAGATTCCCGAGCAGTGCTAGGGGCACTCGCCTCTTGCACTCTCCGGCAAACACTTCCTCTTTCATTGGGCCGCGTAAGCTTGTTTCAGGCTTTAAGGTGCAACCTCTTTCAAAAACCAGAATAACGTGGCCCAATAAAAGTGAAAGTGTTGGCCGAAGAGTGCAGGAGGCGAGTGCTCCTAGCACGCCTCTTAGATTCCCTTGTCCAACATCTTCTACAGACTCTAGTTCATGTGGAATGTGAAGATTTTCGTTGTTTTGAAGTCATGAAATTAGTGAATGGTGATTCGGTCTTCATCATAGATCTATGATAGAAATCTTTTTGGACCTGTAAAGTTATTTTATTTGATCTGTTGCAATTACCAAAAAAAGCATGTGCAAGCAATAGATCAATAACTAGCTTTCGTGAGGGAAAACCAGAACATATATTCCACTGATGAAATATGAATTTATTACACAATACAACTTAGAGGAAATGATGCGATATTTTATAATTCAAGGCTAACACACTTATAAAAGAAATACAATAAACTTTAGTAACATTTGTTTACAGAATCACTGATTTTTCACCACATTTTCTCAAGAAATTGATAATACATGCACCGCCATTGCTTGCTAATCAAAAGAGGACCCAGTACACTCCAAAATCCCACAATAAATCCAAGGGCCACGCTTGCAAACAAGCAAATACTTTCGATTCCATTCCTATCTTTTCCACCTTTGTTTTGGATGCTAGGTACAAAACTTCGATTGACACTGCACTTATGTGGTAGTGGAAGGCCACAAAGTTTGTTTCCAGCATAGCTAGATGCACTGAAGCTCTGCAACTGAGTACCTGAAGGAATTTGTCCGGTCAATTGGTTATTGGACAAGTTCAAGTAGCCCAAAAACGTCAAACTTGACATGCTTTCTGGAATTGAACCAGACAATTCGTTCCCTGAGAAATCAACTGATTCTAACATTCTCATGTTGCCAATGTTACGTGGGATCCTTCCAGTGAAAAGATTGTGTGATAAATTCAGTGATTGTAACCCTTGGAGATAAGTTATTTCTGAAGGAATCTCCCCTGATAAATTATTGCTAGAAAAATCCATGGCTTTCACCAAGTAGAGTATGTTGTCATATTCACGCAACTGACCTTTTATTGAAACAAATGCATTCTCGAGATAAGCTACCTCAAACATGTTGCCATAAGAAAAGACGAAGCCAAAGTCGAACTCGTGAGAATGGTTGTCCGATGAGAGCAAGACACTTATGTTCCCAATACACCTTGGCAAGCTTCCGAAGAGGTTGTTATGAGCAAGGTCCAGAATTTGGAGAGAATTGAGTGAACACAACTCATTTGGGATATGTCCCAAAAATTTATTTGAACCAAGGTTCAAGATTATCAAGTTTGAAAGACTCTTACCCACCCACGGTGGGATGCTCCCATCCAATTCATTTTCACTAAGTTGAAGCATCTCTAACTCTGTGCAATTACTTAAAGACAATGGTATTTCTCCTGAAAGGTAATTTTTCTGAAGATGCAAGGATACCAAGTAAGATAAAGCTCCGATCGACCATGGAATTTTTCCCGTTAAATTATTGTCTGCTAATACAATGGCCTTCAAGTTTGGCCACTTGGTCCAACAATCTGGTAACTCTCCAAATAGAAAATTTTGGCCTAGATTGAGAATCCTCATACGCATGAATTCATTCTTTTCATGACACAAAAAGTAGGAAAGGGAGCCTGACAACTTATTATTAGAGAAGTCTAAGAAAGACATATTAGAGGAGATACGAGATAATGGACCGATGAAGTTATTTGAGCTAAAATCGAAAACAATAATATTTAAGAAAGTGTTAAGACTAGGACTACTTAATATACTTGGAAGGTGCCCATGAATTTGGTTGTGAGAGATATTTACATATAGACATTGAGATGACAACTCCCAAAACCAATTAGGAACTTTATCAACAATTTTTGAGTCAGAAATATCTAAATAACTTAAATATTTTTGAGAATGAAGCCATTGTGGAAATTGCCAACCTAGATGCCAAGATCCTAACCTTAAGATCTGAATTTGAAAATGAGGAACCCAATCAAAATCGACTTTCAAAATCATTGATGGGTTTCCATCAGCAATAAA